TTAATGAAAATGACAGTAATGCTCGCAATCACATTGGTCTCTATTCATGGTCCCTGCAGAAGAAAAGCATCAGTTAGACAATATTTGGAAAAATAAAAAACAAATGATTGTATAAACCAATCTGTTCGAATGAAAAGTTGCCAAACTGCCCTCTAACTTGGAGGAATGAGAATGACAGAAGGCGGGAGCACATTGCCCCAAAAACAATAAGGTCAGAGTGAGTACTATGGTGCCTTTTTCAGCAAACACACATTCAGGAAAACAGCTGTTTGTACAGAAAGCTGCTAGAATCAGACCAACATTCTATGGAAAGATCCACTACAGGAAACATTGCTTAAATAATAATTTTCTTTATCATTTCACTTATTACACAGGTTCTATGGACTAACATGGTTTTTCTTTGCAGCTCCTACCAAAATCTGGTCTAAAACTGAAGTTAAAATTAGAAACATTTGATAGCAGTTAATCTGTCGTGTTCAATACTTTTGTTTGTTGTCATAGAGACCAGCAGAATCTGAGTTCCAATTTTCCCTGTTTTCCTGTCATCCTTACCCAGCACTCTCTCTCCCAGTCCTCCCAGTTCCAGGTAGGCGTTCTGGAAAGATTCCTTCATCTCGTCGTCCATGGGCTGCTCTTTGCCCTGGATCATGATGGTGGAGCAGCGGTCCAGGATCCTCTCAGGGGCTCCCTTCATCACCAGCAGGTAACGGTTGTCAGTTTCTTCCTCAGTTTCATGGATTGAGAGCTAAATGGGAACAGATTCAGATATTCATTTTGGCAGGTATTTAGTGAATAATCATTAGAGTTTGTGGCTTTAGATCCAACTGACTGATTGGTTTAGACTGTACCTGATACTTGTTGGTGGAGTTGAACGGGATCTCAGCCACCTTCTTGTTCTTGTCCCTGATGGCTTTGACGGGGCCGCAGGACAACTCGATGCACTTGAGCAGAGCGGACTCTGAGGCGTCGCCGGCGACATCCCGTTTGAGGATGGGCAGAGATTCCTGACCGGCCTTGAACACAGCACGGTTGCACAGTGCAGCAATGCGAGCCAAAGACACCCACGTAGTTGAACTTTTGTCAAAGGAGCAACCTAAAAGGGTTAGAGAGTGTTAGGCTGCTACGTATTCAGCACAAATCTGCTTTTTTATCCAATCTAATGTTCATAACTGAAAATGACAAACCAATAGCTTTTATTCTTTTCTAGCTGTGCTGCATTTGGTGAAAATGTTAGCTTTAAAGTTTATTTTAATTGTATAAATATCACATGCACAATGTTTGCAGCTAGTGATACTACACAGTTAGCTATTGTATCAGCTATGGGGAAGAAAGAACAGAAAGACATGAACTGATGTCACTCTGAGCTATGGAAGCCTAAAACAATACATTTGTGACAATGAAAACAGATTTTCCAACAACAAAATTTTATAAATAGAAAACTGGATTAATCAATAAAATGTATTTATCACAGAGTCCCTGCACTTACCAACAGAGAGCAGAGTAGATCTTTAGTTTTAAAATGAAGATATTTTTGGACAAACTGGGATCCATTTTACAAAGTAGGTTTAACAAAGTCAGACTCAACTCTGATTAGATCCAGCCTGAGGTCGGAAACTTAGTTTTTGGTTTAACAAAGGATTTATCAACTTGACTGAATATATATTTTTTGATATCTGAAATACTTTTATTCAAAGTCAAAATAATACAAATGACTGTTGTTTTTTAGTCTGTATCAGTGTACATAATTGTAATCGGATTGTGATTAATCAATTGTTGAAATAATCGCCAACATATCTATTAATCGAATAATCGTTAAATGGAGTGTAGAAACCTCTAAAACATGCCTTTAGCTGACAGAGCGACCCACTTTAAAGCAGCAATTATACCATAATTGCAAAAAAAAATATATATATATATATATATATATATAAATAAAAAATGCAGAAATATAAATTTAAGATTTAAAAATCTCCTTTAAGGGTCCTTTTGCTATCCGATTATTGATCCATTAATTTAAAAAATAATCAACAGATAACCAATTAGCAAACTAATCTTTATGAATCATTTATATGATTCCTAAAGCCCTAAATATTGATAGTTGAAATGAGTTTCTGGTCACATTTTTCTACATTTATCATAGATCTAAACCTTCACTCATCTAAATAACAGGAGGAGTAAGATACGTCAAACAGAGCATTTGCTTTGGGAAGTCAATCATTTTAAAATGTGTTTTAGGTGAGAAAAGGATTAAAGCCAACTTACTAATCGTAGGTGATCACACAACATGCCAATTGGTTTTAAATAAACTATAATGAATTAACAAGAACTAGTTTAGCTTGTTTAAGGATGAATTAATTCAGTTCTTGTGAAACCGGTTAAACCTTTCCTCCTGAAATTCTCACCAGACTGGTCCTCGGTTGTGTCGGCCTCATGGATCTGATTGTCGAACCACATGTGGGCGACGGTCATCCTGTTCTGGGTCAGGGTGCCGGTCTTGTCGGAGCAGATAGTGGAGGTGGAACCCAGAGTTTCTACAGCCTCCAGGTTCTTGACCAAACAATTCTTACGAGCCATTCGCTTGGCAGTCAGAGTCAAACACACCTTGAAAAAGGAAGGGGGAAAATGGATTGATGGTGATAATGAGAATGAAAGGAACAATACATATAAATTAGATTTTTATAAGGTGAACTAATATCATAGTAAAGCATCTCCACAGCAATTACATAACATCTTGCAAGCAGAGTCATAAGTAGCGTTCTAACCCAAATAGGAAACTGACCCACCCAGATTTCTGCTAAATTTCTACTCAACATGTCAGCAAAATGCACAAAAATCAAGATTCACATTGAGAACTAAAGCAGCTTATCAAGCGATGCAGAGGCATGAACATGTGAGGTGATGCAGCAGAGCAGCGGTGCATTATGAATGTCAAGCAGAACTAGCCAAGGCCAAGCCATGAAGGCCAAGTTCAGGCTATCAAGCTAAGAAATGACAGGCCTAAATGTTATTACATTAACTAGCCGTTGTCATTGCAGAGAGGCCCGCCTGTGGCCTGGAAAAGAGGGGAAAGACGTACACAGAGAGGAAAATGGACAAGAGAAACACAAACACATGACAGCTTTAGGACAGGAAGGAGAGAGACACACACCGCCAACTGAACAGATTCACCATGTTAAGAAACTGGGCCACACGGAAGATTACAGCACAATGATACGGTCACAAAGCGACATGGAGCCACACAGGACGACAGATCATCAGCAGAACCACTGCACCGCTCACAAAACATCACAGACTGAATGTCCACTGAAAAAAGACACAAAAAGCCCACAGACACGCACACCCACAGCTACAAGACATTCACCAAAGTCAGGTAATATCAGTAAAGTTGATCACATTGCTGATTATAAGGAAGTTATAGTTAAAAAATTACAAAAAATATAATAAAAATCCTTTTTCATAAATGTATAATGATGAGAATGATTTTTTTATACAGTTAAAGGGTTAAACAGCGTTTGTTTGAGGCTTCTCCCTGACTAACAGCTCAATATAAACCACTGGAAGTTTAATATGGGGGAAAAAGAAACAAAAGATGAATTAATAGAATAATCAGAATACAAAGAGGTCAGTAACAGCTTTTAAAAATGAAACAAACATTTTACAGTAGTCCTACGGACGTTTAATTGATGATACGATGCAAAGAGAAGGAAAACTCACAGTGACTGTAGCCAGCAGACCCTCAGGCACGTTGGCTACGATGATGCCAATGAGGAAGATCACAGCCTCCAGCCAGGAGTAACCCAGGATGATGGAGAGGATGAAGAAGCTCACTCCAAGAAAGACAGCCACGCCTGTGATGATTTGGATGAAGTGCTCAATCTCCTTAGCAATGGGGGTCTGAAAGATGAGAAAACCTTTTATGACCAAATGTAGATAATTTACAAGACAGTTAGTAGCTTTTTGGTTTAGCTGCTTGTTTTTAATCTTAAACTGAAAACCAACATATTTTTGTTTTAACAGCTTAGCTCAAACTGATCTGTTTAGACTGAAACATATCAAAATGGCCAAGCTCTGTTTTATATCAGAGATCTGATTGTTCCTTATGTTCCTAACAGAGCACTTCACTCTCAATCTGCAGGTTTACTAGTGGTTCCTAGAATTTCTAAAAGTAGAATGGGAGGCAGATCTTTTAGTTACCAGGCTCCTCTCCTGTTGAACCAACTGCCAGTTTTAGTCAGTGAGGCCGACTGACTAGTAGTGGTAGTTTTGTCTACTTTTAAGGTTCTGCTCTCTGCTTTTTCTCATAGTAGTTTTATGTGGTCTGTTCCTGTTTGGCTGCTGAAATATCAGCTGTGCTGCTGCCATCAACACCTTTGCTTATAGATGTTAGAGATCGGCCTGTTTTCCAGTGTAGTCCTGTTTCTCTGACTGTGACTAACTGGATGTGCTCTCCTTATCCTGCCTGGCCGTGTGTTTCCTGGACAGGGCCGCCTTTTACAGCTGCTTTTTGTGTCTCTGCTTCTGTCTCCTTGAACCCCAGTCAGCCTCGGGAGATGGCCGCTCACACTCAGCCTGGTCCTACTGGAGGTTTCTTCCTCCTAAAGGGGAGTGTTTCCACTCCACTGTCGCTACAAGCATGCTTAGTGTGAGGGATTGCCTTCTAGTCAAATAGTCAATGCAATCAACTGGTTTTCCTTAGATAGAAAACTTTGAATACATTTTACAGTATGATCTGGTGAACTGGAAAAAGCCCTGGGATGACATGTGTTGTGAATTGGTGCTATATAAATAAACTGAATTGAACTGAAGTTAAAAACAAACCATTATCAAGAGAATAAAATAAGCTGAAATCCTAAAAAAACAAATTTTGGTAACCAGGTGTTTATTGGTGTTCTGCCGTTTTGGTAAATTAATAAAATAAAAAAAAAGATCTTCAGCAGCTTCGTAGACAGATAAGGCAGAAGTTACCTTGCCAGTCTCCAGGCCTGAGGTAAGCGTGGCAATGCGACCCATGACTGTACGGTCACCGGTGCACACAACAATCCCACGTGCAGTTCCTGGAAGAAATGATATACAAACATGATCAGGTTTATGGTTTACAAAAAATGTAGTTTACAAACAGAAAACGATCAAAATGGAAAAATTAAAGCATAAAAAGACATGACTGTTTCATCTGACTGGAAGGCTTCACTGATTTTCTTTTACCACAAGAGGGCACCAGACACACCCCAACGCTGAACAGTTAGATGAACATAACTATTCATTCTGGACGCTAGATTATATTCTCCAGAAAAGGAAAAGACCAAAGCCTCCACGTATTTGTTTGGCACTGGTGGCCTTTATGTTTCTGACGGAATATGGGTTGGAGAAGCAAACAGCTGAGGTCTTTGGGCCAAGTTGAGGACTGAGGCCTCCAAACTTAGATCACATGCTCTACCACTGTTCTGACACTGCACCCCAAACATTATGTTTATGTTGCACCTTTGTGAAAAGCTTTTGAGTTCTTACCATCATGTAAATATTTGCAGTGAAGAATAAAGTAAACAAAGATGAACCATGTTTTGGCCAAGATCCCTATCTGAACCTTGTTTTCCTTCAAACCCCACTGAACCAACCTGCATAGAACATGCATTTTAAAGAGGGATGAATAAAGAAGACATTTCAAACTAGAGTCAAAGCTGTAAAATAATGACTTCATCTTCAAAACAGGAAAACACAATAAAAACATATTTAGCTCAAGTTTGACATCCAGAAGGCTCCAAATGGTACCCTTAAATCAGAATCTAACTATAGTCGTAAACACTTCTAAACTATTCCAATGCAGGCCATAATTATGTCTTTATAACGCATACAGGAAAAAAAACAGATCTATGTCTAATAGGAATTTGCATTATTCATTTATTTAATCAAGTTATTTGATTGGTAAAAAAATTATTCTGCTAAAAATGTTTCATACCTTTTCCCCTCAACAACAAGAATAACAAATACGACAACAAAAAAACATTAAAACATAATCTCAGGGGCCACATCATCCCAGTTTCAGGAAGTTATGGACTTTAATATGAAAATGAGCTTACATATTTATAAAACTTCAAAATTGAGTTATTTATAGCTTAAAGTCTTTTCAATCCATAAAGACACGCTAATGGTGGTAAAATTACCTTCGACACAGTTGGTTGAGAAGAAGGTGATGTTGCGGGTTTCCAGTGGGTTGTCATGAGTGCAGTCAGGAGACCTGGTCTGGGGCTCAGATTCTCCAGTCAGGGATGAGTTGTCAACCTGGAAACAGCAGTAAATTAATCAGAGAAATAAGCCATGAGATTAAAATAAATCTAATAAATGAAAGATTTAATAATGACATTTAAGGCACCATAGTGAGGGGAAATGATTTCTAAAGCTGGACGTTGCTCACCTTGCAGCCATGAGAGGAGATGATGCGGAGGTCGGCAGGGATCCTGTCTCCTCCTTTCACCTCCACCAGGTCTCCTGCCACCACCTGCTCAGCATTGATCTGCATCTTCTCTCCCTCTCGGATCACCAATGCTTGCTGGGAACAGAAATCAGACACAGGATATATTATGTTCAAACATTTAACTAAATTGTTTTAGTGACTCTGTTTACTGAAGAAAATAATTGTGTTAAACATGTGTGTTATAAAAGGTACAGAGAGGAGAAAAAGAGACGCTTTTACTGCTAAACAAAAGTGGCAAATGATAAAAATGAAATACAGAAAGACAAAATGTAGAAACTGATGAAAGCCTAAACATCTAGCTCTCAGAAAAGAGGGAAGAAATGTAAAGACCTAATAAACATTAACCCTTTAATGGCACCAGGAAGAATATCTGGGAGGATTAATCTTAGCAGCATCATAACAGCAAACTAACTATCCTCTAAAATTTAACTTCCAGCGTCAGAGAAGAAATAATCAAAACATATATATGTTTTGTCAACAAAATAGATCAAAATAACTTGATCAAAAGTGGGAAAGCCGTTTGTACCTGAGGGACCATGTTCTTAAAGGACTCCATGATCTTGGAGCTCTTAGCTTCCTGAAAGTAGGAGAAGCAGCCGGTGATGATGACGACAGCTGACAGCACGATACCCAGGTATAACTACAGAGGGAAGAGCAAAAAGAGGTAGAAAACACAAGACTTTCAAATCAGTCAGCTTACAATGGAATCATATAAACATTGTTAAACAGAAAACATAAATCTCAGTATCTAATTTTGAAATCACAAACACTGAAGTAAAGAGGAACGGTGCTGTTTCACAAAATGTAAAGTTGTCATTTAAAGCTTCAGGGCATCAGAAGTCCTTTGCTTGGTGATGTTCTTAATTGTGTAGTTGTTCCAGTCACCAGTTTCAAACTGAGGCATAAATGTGATCATTTAATAGATCATAAAACCCTTCCCTCCATGTTCCTCTCTGTATGGTGCTGTGAACATGGACTCATGTTTTGGTGGATAACAGTCATGATCACTCATCATGGTTCAGCAATGCTGCTGTTTCACAGATTCCTCCCTGTGGACTGAGCCAAGTATCATGCTGGTTGCGTCACAGCCGCTTAGCCTCTGCTCTGAGCTCTATGCTGTGCTCTGACCCGCCATAAAAGCAGTGCTGACCCTACATCATCCTCCTAAAATCCCACCATTACGAATACAAACAGTGACTCTCCCCCTGCAGGACCACAAACCCGGAAGCTAACGGAGAGGAGTGTGTCATCCTAGAGATGGGCCAGTTGGCAGCGTTTGGACAAACGCCTGACACACTCACCCCGATCTCTGAAGAAATGAGAGGGAAACAGAGCCGCAGCTACTCACCCTGCCTCTGTCTATGCCATCATACTTCAACAATACAACAATCAGGCAGCAGCAGGTCATCTGAATCACACTGACTATTCAGCCCCGCCACCTCTGGCAGGAAGCTAACATTTGGTAAACGTTTCGCTCTAGAGGAGATGGAATCACATTTTTGAAACAAATTCCGATGTAGGGAATATTTACCACACATGACTGATCAGCTGTTTCACTGCCGCTAACGTCCTGAATGCAGCATTAGAATCACATTTCTCTCTCGATGTCTCCCAATGGCCTGAACTATTGCTAATACTAGCAGGCATGATAAAATAACAAAACTTGCCTAATTAAATCACACTTGTGGTCCACACTAGCTCAACTCCATTTCCTGTTTACCGAAGCCAACTTTACACGTTGTACCGCCTCATTAATTTGTTCCAACTGATGGAAACACATTTTCTTTAGACTTTTTATAAGGTTGCTCCACATTGGTATCACAGTTGGACGTAAACAGTCATTGATGCCGCTACATTAAATTCAATCTTTATGTTATGAGCGAGGTTTCCATATAAAGACAAAAAGCTTAGCATGAACATGCAAAAGCTTTTAATGAACTCTGCCATCATCCGTTGTGAAAATCTTCCACCTACATTATCCCCAGCAGGCTCATCCTCTGTGGCAGCCTGGATGGCGTAGGCCAGGAAGCAGAGGATGGCGCCGATCCACAGCAGGATGGAGAAGCCACCAAACAGCTGACGACAGAACTTGACCCACTCTGGGGTGGTAGGGGGTGGAGTCAGGGCGTTTGGTCCATCCCTGGCCAGGTACTCTGCTGCCCTGGCATTGGTCAAACCCTGGACAAGGTACGGAACATGAGTTTGGTTTAGGATAAAGAAAGTTATTAGTGGAAAAGGAAATAAACCAAAAAAAAAAGATTTTGATAGAAATGTACAAACTCTGGATAAACTACTGGTTTGTAGTGAATTCAGGAAAATCTTTTCACTTTTTTTGAGGTGCGCATCTTACCTGTACGATATCAGTGTTGTATTTCCGGCAAACCTCCTCAACAGACATTTTGTGTTCCGTCTAAAGGAAAAAAACAAGTATTTTCAGATCACCAAGTTTGAAAATGGAGGCAATATGGAGTTCGGCAAATTTCCAATAAAAGCTTAAACTTTTGATACGGTGTGGTGAAATCAAACCAATAACCTTCCAAATGATAAATACTATGAATAATCATCTGATTAAAGCCTATGCATATTTACATCTATATACATAAACTAAAGCATAGAATGCCAGAAAATCTTTTCTTATTAGTTTCACATCTATTTTTTGTTGTGCATCAGCTGCAGAAGTAACCAACTTCCATCCATCAACTTCCACCTATATTGTTTTAAAATAAGGAGATCTGGTTATAGTTGGATCACAGTAAACTTAAGACAGGCATACACTGTGCGATTATTTTCAATCTTTGCACGCAGCTACTGCACCATGAGGCTCTCATGCGATCCACCTGCTCACACTGTACGACTAAAAATCGCACAGTATACGTGCAGCTTTAGGAGTAAAGTTTGCCCAGCACCAACATTGACTGATTCTATTCCACTCATTTGACTCTGAAACACAATACATTGTCATATTAACCATCATCATATCTAATAAACATTCTTTTCACAGGTCTTTATTAAATAAACCTTGGTGACAAAGATGCACTCTCTCAGCAACAGGAAGTAGGAGTAGCTGTACATACGATGGGGACTTCTTTCTTCAGGTCATCCAGATCCTTGCCTCCCTTCTTCTTGGGCGACTCCTTGTCATCCTTGTCCTGCGTGGTGGCCACCCGGTAGCTGTCCGACCGTCCATACTGTAATACAAAAACATCTGTTAATGCTTCATATTAGGGAACTGCATTCAATCTGTGACTGAGACAATTAACCAATGAGCATGAGATATGAGGCATGACATACAAGAAAAAGAATATCTAAAGTTTCAGTTAGAAAAAATACGTTTTGTTGGTAAATCAGACATTTAAACCTGAGAGAATATACAATCAAGTGTAGTTTAAATATCAATGAAAAGTTCATTTATTTAAATACTTCAACACTCCAAGTACAACAGCCGATGTAGATTAGCTAAACACCAATTTGTGTTTTTCAAGACAGCACTTCTGAAAATCAATTAGCAATGTAAATAACTGACTCGATTAATAGTTATTAGATTGAAATGACTTCCATCTGATTAATTGAGAATTGAGAAATTAATTGAGAAATCTGTGTGTTGCAGTATTTCTCTCTCACATTAGAGGGCGCTGCTGTTCATTCTTAAACTGAGTCTAGTCGGTATTTGCTGGACTAGTAATGCCGGAGCTGAAGCCTGCTAGAGAAGAAATGCGAATCGATCTGAATCCCGATCTAAACTTCAATCTGTTTAATTGCGACTTGGATGCAGAATGCACTTTATGCATTCCTGTATGCAAATATAAACACTTGATAAACTCCTTTAATTATCACAGTATTTAGTGATGCTCCATGACTGAGCAGCATCAGGTTCTATGCTGTGCTTTGAAAACGAGGATTTGATGTTAGAAAAGCGGAAATCATTATAAAAAACATTGATAACTTTATAGAAAAAGAAATGCTAGCAATAAGCGCAGTAGATTGTGAAGGCATTTGTGTGTTAAAGCACGTTATACAGGCAAGTTTTAACCTTCCTGTGAGAGGAACCAGATCCCCTGATTAAAAGCTCTGGTAGCAGCACGGATTGTTTGATTACAATAAAAACAGAGAGCTACGTCTCAGTTAGCATCTACTTTATTCAAATTAAGTGGCAAAAAGTCACAGCGAGAAATCCTGTCTTTTTGATGACAGTTTTTTTTTTTTTTAGAACTTTATTTTTATTTTGATCGTTATTAACAAACAATACATAGAAACTATAATAGACAAAAAGTACAGAACAATCGAGGCAAAAAACATACAACAGGGGGAGACTCATATTTTAGTAACTCAAATCACATGGGGACCATCCATTTCCAAAATTAGTCCGGTATCGTTGATGTGAAGTTTGTCCATTTTTCCCATTTGTCTAAGCATTGCTGCTCCTGCGTCCTCAGCCTATGTGTTAGAAGCTCCATCTCAAATAGTAAGATCACAGTCTGTATCCACTCCTTTGTGGTAGGAGGTTCAGATTTGCACCACCTCCTGGTTATCACCTTTTTAGCTGCCACCAACAGAATTTTTAACAAATAACAATCATTATTAAATACGATATTGTCCAAAAGACCAAGGTATAACACCAGACCGGACTTGGGTATTGAGTAACCCAGTATTGTTACAATCTTACTGTGTATTTCGTTCCAGAACTGAGTAATTTTAGGACAAAGCCTTTTTGATGACAGTTTTAAATCTCTATTAATCCCAAAGGAAAATGAAAGGCCGCAGTGACTGATTGCAATATGTGAAATACTTCTGATATCTGATGCACAAAGTATTTTTTAATTTAATTGTTTTTTTATTCAGTATTCAAATAGGGCCCGGGTTTATATAATATATATGTTTCTTTATATCTTATAAGAAAGTTTTAATGTGTAAGAATTTCTTTTGTTTATTCAATCAGTATTTTAAAACAGCTGGTACAATAAATTGTTAAAATATAATGACGTAATCTTTTTCATCTCAGCAAATTGTAAATATGTTTTTAATGCACATTAAGAAAAGATTCTCTTGATACAGAAGAAAAGACAGGACTTTAAGAAAATGGACAGCTATCAATAAATCATTAGAAGTTTGTTAAGATCAATCAAGATCAATCAAATNCTCTTGATACAGAAGAAAAGACAGGACTTTAAGAAAATGGACAGCTATCAATAAATCATTAGAAGTTTGTTAAGATCAATCAAGATCAATCAAATTTAGATTCATTCATGTATTGATAACTTGCATCCATATAATCAATTAGGAATAAATATTACTTCAAAACCATAAAAATATTTTCCAAGATATGCAGGTTTAATGAAAAACATTTGTACTTGCTTAAAAGGTTTATAATTCTTCAAAACATACTTTTAATACATAGACATTTGTATGCATAGCTGGTCTTTACTAAGATCACATGAGAAACTTCAGGTTGAGATGAAAAGGTAGAACGATTCTTGTGGAGGGAGAACAGGAACTAAGTGGTTCCTGATTAGATTAAGCATCATTACAGCAGAAGCCTGTCTAAAGCCCTCGACTTAATCTGCAATTTATCCCACCATCATTTAAACCTAATTATGCTTTGGTGCCTGTTGTTCAGACTGTGATTAAAGGAGGCTACAAGTTACATCAACACAAGGAAAGAATTTAAAATGGTACAAAATGTATTTTGTATTAACATAGAACAGTCTGCTAAATGTCCAAATCTATGTTTTGGAAAAAAGGAATGAGCCCTTAAAGAGATTTACAGTCATGCCAGGGGTTACGATCTAGTTGTTAAGCCAACAGAGGTAATTCAGAAAACTGATTAGCATTTATTCCAGGAAGGACTGTTTACTTTAGAATAACTCAATTCAACTACCTTAGAATCAATCTTCTCCAAACATCAGTTTCAAACTCTAAACAACCATTAGCCAAATAACAGATAGAATCATGTTTTTGAGCTTTAGCTGCCTCATTTTTTGCAGCTAATCATGCAGACTTAAATGTTCAGGTTAACTCTCTATTCATGGTGGATCTGAAGGAGCTACTCTAGATCAAAGAACAAATATCGCAGTTCACCAGATCAGAATGGATGCGAGTAAAAATGTACTTAAGTATTATTTATAAATTGTAAAAAACCTTAGAAAAAGACAATTAACGGAAAACTTTGTGGTCATACTAACCGCACCAGTTTGGACCTGACTTTCAAAGGTATTTAATATACAACAGTTGTTTGGTAATTACAATATGATCTATATATTTATGAATACACAAAAAGTGTATAAAAACTCTCCGCTTAATTGCAAACAAAAATTACTTTGCACCCTCTATGGAAATCTGCTCTCTGAGTGTGCAAAATAAAGTTTGCACATGTTTTAATGCCCAAACTTTTGAAGATCAGGCCCTAGGACTTAGATCCACTGTTGGAGCCTAATATCTATATATTTATGTGTTAATTTATCTCCTTTGTGCACTTAAGCTAATCCCCAAATACATCAGTGAGCTGCAGAAGAACCAGGCAACGACCCCGGCCAGGATCAATACAAGAAGGAGCTGATGGATATATATATAACAATTATGGATTCATATTTTTCTATGGCATTTAAAAATATATCCATCCAAATTGAAGGACTTTTCTTCAAACATGTTTTCATTTTCTGATAGAGTTTCAGAAGGCGAGTCACTTGGACATATAGACGTAGGTTAGTGATTAAAGAGAATTATCTCGTTCACATTAGCAAAACAAAATCTGAATTTGGAAACATCCTCTTATAGACCAGCAATGTGTCCAAATTATTTAACTAGTTCTGTAGTCAAGACCACACCAACCAAGACCAGGGAGTATTGAAACAAGGCCAAGACATTTAGAGGTCTTGGGCTGATATGGTCTTGCTCTTGGTTTCGGCCTCTAATCCTCTATAAAAAAAAAACAAAAAAAACCCCATAATTTTTTAAAATTCGAAGCATTTAAGAGTCATTGAACAAATCAATTACAAAAGTATCAAAATATTGATTGATGGAAGCAACTCTGAAGTTATATATTTCTCTGAAGGATGACTGAGTTTTATGGAGGGCCATAAAACTGTTTAAAAACAGAAATATACAAATTGCCTAATAAACGAATCAATACTCTGAAAACTTACTAATATAAAATAGAAACAATTTTGTTAAAAATATCCAATGTATGAATCATTTTAGTGTTTAAATTATTTTCTTCTCCATATATTTTTCCAACAGAATTAAAGTGTTTTTTTTAACAGAGAGTGAAAGAAACAACGAATAAAAAAATGTCTGAGGACTTCAGTGTTGAGGAAGAGCATGAGTTCTTTGCCGAGCTGATTGCGCACTTTCGTCTGGGTTGGTCTGCCGCGGTTTCCGTAGAGTCGTGAACGCGCTTTTAGGAAATCCTATACACTACTGTTTATGCTCTAAAAACATTCTAAATGACTTCGTTTCGAGTAAATTATGGACGCTACCCACTCAGGACACTTGGAAGTCCTCAGACATTTTTCTTTCGTTGTTTCTTTCTTTGCACAGGTAAACAGCACATTTCTCCTTCTACGCTTGCATTATCGGCAGAGCAGACGCTGAATGCGCACTTTCATCTGGTTTGGTCTGCCGGCTTCCGTAGCCTCGTGAACGCGCAGGCGCGCGCTTTTAGGAAATCCTATACACTACTGTTTATGCTCTAAAAACATTCTAAATGACTTTGTTTCGAGTAAATTCTGGATGCTACCCACTCAGGACACTTGGAATACATTGGACGAGCAGTATGGAGGAATATTGACACGTTTTTTGTGGACTTTTATGGACCTTTCTGCCTCGGGCACCATAGACCTCCATTATTTGAATGTCAGCAGACAGCAAGAAGCCTCCCAGATCTCCAGATGCATTTGAGATATCAAAAAAGTACTCCAGAGTGTTGTTCAGCATGGGGGTGAGTAGAAAATGAAGGCTAATCATGTTTTGGGTGTACTATTCCTTTAACCAGAAACAACTCTGCCCTAAAAAATGTTGCACGAGTATCAAACATTGTACAAATTATCAAGTATTTCTTTTTACCGTTTAAAGAGTTTGAAACATTAGTGACAACTCTAACAGGAGGTTAGGGTTACTGCATTAAGTAATACAACATTTCATTAAAATAAAAAAAGAATAAAAAGATGAATTTAAGAAACTTGCTCAACATATG